ATTAGTTCCTCCCTCCCTCCCCCCCCCCCCTTGTAGGTGAGACTTGAGTGTATACTGGAAACTGATTTACAAGTAAACAGATGTGGCTCAGCCGGGAGATGGGCCATGTCTGTGCTGATCGTCTGTGCTGATCATCCAAGAAGGATATCATGGAAATACTCAGACAGATCCATGTGAACGAAGCCTTCCCTTAAACGCTCAACATTGAATTTTTTCTCCTCATCACCAAAAAGAAATCCTTATTAACATATGGACTCCGAATAGAAGAAAGGACTGATTGCTAAAATCTTGGCCTCAGGCGGAATTTTCCCTAGAAAAACCACTTGGGCCAAGATGGAGGTGTGTGGGCATAGGGGAAAACCTCTGCTGAGGCTGACTCCTTGTTGCACACCCAGGGTCGATTCCCAGGCTCGGCTCTGTCCTTTCCGTGTGGCTGGCTAGATAGAATTTGACCGCTAATAAAATTATGTTTATTTTTAATCTGGCTAAAATAAACTCTCATTTATAACACTTTATTATTCTAGTATCTCATAGTCTATTCTATTCTACTTCTATTACACTATATTCCCTTAGCAAGAGCTCTCACTCACTACTAACTCGAAAACCTGTGACTCCCTCTCCTGAGAGTCCCGACACAGCTGTAGATCCAATTGATCAATGAATCCAAACACCATCACCAGAATCCAATCAAGCAATCACCTTGGGTAAACAATCTCCAGAACACATTCCACATGGGCACAAACACCCAGCAGCAGCAAGGGAGATAAGGATTGTTTTGATCATTCTTTTCTCTGCTTCTCTCACAGCCTTCCCTGGGAAATACCTGGGAAAGTCTGTGCCTGCTCTCTGTGACCACAGAGCTGCTGCCATAGGGAATAAATTCTGTGGTTTGCTTTTCTTCCATGTGCAGCTTTCCCTTCCCTTATTAAACGACTGTATCTCAAACAGCAAGGGGCTTTTTTGTCACTTTGGCCATTTGATTCTCTCTACCATCCCACCAGGGATCGTGTGTAATTGCTGTCTGGGATTATACCATGACAGAAGGTAAGTAAAACGAGTTCTTCCCTCAATAGGTGCAATAAAATTGACCCTTCTCTTCCCTGCTTTTTCTCATGTGCTGGGCTGAGAGGTGGACAGAGCAAGCTGAGGCACCTCCTGGGCTGTTTGGAACAGTTTTTCATGTCTGGAGCAAAGTCTTCCTTGTAGTTCTCTGCAGAGACAGCATGGCCAGGACAAACACCGGTGTTCAGAGATGAGGGATAGGGAGGGATCTAATTAGATAGTTATTCTCCAGCATCTTAGCTCTCAGAATTAAGGGAAAATTTGTAAAATTGAAACTGAAAATGAAAGGCAAAAATAGGCAGATCACAAGAAGAGGAAGTAGAACCCAAAACAAATCAGACATTATAATTGTTTTTTTTCTCTTTTGGAAAATGCATGTTCACTGAGAAATCAATAAAACCTGCTTGTAAGAAAGAATCAATTCTTATTTTTCTGAACTAATCTGAAACAACTCAGATGGAAAAAACATTTTCCTGTTGATATTTTCAACAAGAATATTTTACTATTTTATAATTCAAGATGATGCATTTATCACAGTATTTGAATTAATGCATAGTTTAAAGTATAACCAAAAAAAGAAGATAAAAATATCATTTACATAAAATATTTCTAAAATTTAATCTTAGGAATGTCTTCTCACTTGTCTTCTTGGACGGTATTATTTCCCAAGTTTTTAGCTTTTTTTTATCACAGTTCTAAAATTTGTGTGACAGGTAAAAAAATCATTTGTGGCTTAGCTTAATGGTTAAAATCTCAAAATGTCTGTGGCACAAATTATAGTCAATGTTGCACCATGTCACATTTTGGTTGTACTTCAGTGAACCGTGGGTTGATGCTGCTTGCCTTGGGAGCCTGAGTTTGCTGCTTCTCTTCAGCAGAGGCAGGTGTAGAATGCTGTGAAGTCTGCCCTGACATTTCTAAAGTCACTTTCCTGGGAGGTCTGCTGCAGACTGGTTCTTGCTGCTCTCTGGCCTCGGCACTGGGAGACATGGCTGCAAGCTCACCTGGTGGTTTGTGAACAGGCAGGTAGATGCTTAGCTTGTCTGAAGATGCTTCTGCGTGTCTTTAGAGTTTGTAATTAAGACCTCCATCGACAGCCAGGGAGAATCCAGGTGGGAAGCGCTAGCCAAGGCCTGCGGGCTATCAGGTGTTATGAATGCGGTGGTCCCACCAATGAGCAGGTGGAAGATCATTGCTGGAGTCTGCTTTGCTGACTGGGAGCACTGCAGCAGTTGCTAGATTTTGCAGCAGGGGTAGTTTCTTGTGATATTTTCTTGTGAGGTTTGGAAACAGATTGTATTTCTTTATTCTTCCCTATTTTGTTCCTAGTATGGACATACTTCTGTTCTAGCCAGTGACTTGAGGCTACAGAATTAAACTGGGGAAGGTAGATGACTGAAAGGAAAATATTATGTGACAATGGTTTCCTTCAGGGCTGAAAATAGAAGAACCTACTGATTCACATATTTGCACTGTAGCCAAAAGTTTGCCTCGATTATTCTGATGGCTCCCTTCCAAGTCATCATATTCTGTGATTCTGAGGTGAGACTGTCCAATTGCAGAAAGAGCTAAACTGGCTGGGATCAGGAATGCTGGGGATATTGACCCCTGTCAGAGGGAGCCATTTCACTTGTCTTGTAGGCAATGCAGTTGCCGAGGAGCCTTTGGGCAGTAGAGGGAGGTGTAGCTGTAGCTGGGGGTGAAGCCCAGATCACAGGGGAGTTCTTTGGAGCTGCTTAAGTGGAGATGAGGAATTGTCTCCAGCCACATCTTTCCCTATTGCCTGTACAACCGTTTATGGTGGTGGGGCTCTGGGGTACATTGTTCATTAAAGTTTTTGGTATTTAAGCTCAAATGTGCTTGCAGGGATACAGTAAGAGGTGCATCCTGTTGGTGCTGTTTGTGGGAGGCCCTTGTGCCTGTCCAGACCTGTGGGACTGGCTGTGCCTGTGTGTGACTCCACCTGTCCTCTGGGGACTCCATGACTGCTTGGACCTGGGGCCTTGGAGCTGTGGCAGCCTCCTCTTTCTCAGGCTGCTGGATCAGGCAACTCCTAACAGCGGTTATGGAGGGGGGAAAACTCTTTCCATGGTCCCATGCCCTGGATGTGCACCCAGAGGTCGGTCTCAGGCTGAGGGATGTGAGAAAAGGCCTGGAGAGGGGAGCAAGGATTCCAGTGTGCCCATGGATGGGCCCACGGCAATGCCACCAACATCATCCTGGACAGTGTGAGCCAAGCCAGAGCCACAGAATGGCCAGGGCTTGTTCTCCACTGGGCACTGGTGAGCCCAGAGTAGTTTGGTGTGGCCACTGGGGGCTGTGGGGTTGAAAGGAGGCTCTCCAAGGAGATGCTGATGCCTTTTTGGGGCTACCTAAAACCAGAGGCCAGACAAAATTAAGGGCATATTAAGCAATTGTATTCATTGAAGGGCCTTCAGGTACATTTTGGGCAGACAAAGCCCCCCAGGGGCTACACCCAAAATCAATTTTGGTTCACAGGTTTTTATACTTCTATAACTTTCATAAGTTTGATCCATTTGCATATTGGGGGCTAATCTTCCAATTACAGCTTCAGCTAATGAAGACATTTACCCCCAGTTTGCTCCCCCCAATTCACTTTTGTTTACATTTCTTGGGGCCTGAGACAGTGAGGTGTCCTTGATTGCCAGGCCTGGAGAGGAATTGTTGTGTCTGCCCAAAATGGGAAAGCAGCATCTCACACTGAATATAGAGTTTAGAGTTATACACTAAAGAATTTCAGGATTACAAATATATGAAAAATATAAAAGCTAAAATGCTAAGTCATCAATGCCAAGAATCACTTGAGGCTGGGGGAGGCAAAGGGCAGGTAGACAGGAGAGAGGGCCAGAGGAGGCGCCCAGAACAGAAAAAGGCCATGGGGCACCCTGCTGCCAAAACTTCTCCTTGCCTATGGAATCTCCAAGGGAGAACAAAAGGGCTAAAGGGGGAAGAAAGAAAAGGGTCTGGAAGAAGTATAGCTTTGCCTTTTCCCCCTGGTTTGCACACATATAACCCCACCCACCCAGCCCTGAGCACTCCCTGTTTTTCCTCCAGGGACCAGTTGTGGCAGAGGTTGCAGGTGCAGAGGGATCAGGATGTGCTGCCTGCAGCTCACAGGAAGGCAGGGAGCTACAAACGCTGCCACCTTCAGAACAGGACTCCTGGACAAGCTGCACATGTCCCACACAGCCCCAGTGCCAGGATTCATCCGTTCCCTGTTTCATTAGCTCTTCATTATTGTCAAAGGGAGCTCTGCCTACATCACTGGCCAACCCAGAGAAGATGCAGCTGAGATGCACCTGGCTCCAGGAGTGGGTGGAAGGGAGCAGCTGTCTGGAATAAGGACCATCATTTGCTCCAGTGTGGGGCTGAGGGGTCTGGATGGATGAGGAGCAGGACCAACCCTGTGGGGTGCACCCAGACCTACAGGTAGGAAGTGTTGCTGTCCCTCCTGCAAAGACAGACACTGTAGCCCAGGAAAAGGCCAAAAAGGAAGTCAAGTTCCTTACCTCCTATTTCATTCTGCTGAGCCACCAAGCTTGTGGGTTTGTGGTTGCAAAACAACCCCCTATTTCATAATGCAGAGAAGAAGCCATTTCACCATCAAGTGACCGTCCCTAAGAAAGAGAAACAAAAAGTTCTGATAGCCTTTCGCCCAAGGTCTGCCAGAGCCTAAAACCTAAGCTGTCACAGGGGCCCAGCCCTGGGCATGTGACTGGGACGTTGTGGTCTCAGTTCAACCTTCCCAGCCCTGCAGTCGTGCTGCAGAAACCCAAGCCGTGGGACAGAAGGTGCCTTGTGACGAGGTTGTATCAGGAGCCACAAGAAGCCACGCAGCTGCTTCGTGCCTCTGGCCAGCACTTTGCTCTGAAGAAACCCTGCTTGAGCTGAATCCAGAGGGAGCCAAGAGAGACGTGATGCTGCCTGTGACCTGTGTGCTGGCCTTAGGTGAGTGCCAGAGGCTGTGGGGATTCCCAGAGGGCAACAGGAGGTGTCCAGACACTCCACAGAGATGTTACACAGCGGTGCTTGTTTCTCTTGCAGGTACTTGGCTGGTGTCACAGAGTGAGGCTACACCAAGTGAGTATCTTGAGAAGGTGGATAGGGAGTTTAGACACATTTCTGGGCCAACCCATCTCTCAGGGCTCTTCCATAGTCCCCTGGAACAAAATTCACCCTTGTGTGGAGATGGGGCCTGGTGGAGCCCCAGGCTCACAGCAGGGCAGCTGCTGGGGGCTCCCTCTCTGGCTGGCTGCATCTCTCTCCCTGTGCAGGTGCCCCCACAATCTCCATCTTCCAGAAGCCACCTGGGGTGATCCCACCTGGAGGCTCCATCACCATCTGCTGCATTTGCCAGTGTAGCTATGGCAGCTTTGTGATGTACAAGAACGGTGACCAGGTCCCTGCCCTGGAGCAGAGTGGCAGCATGGCCGAGTTCTCCATCTCTAGTGCCACCTATGAGGATAGAGGTAGCTACAACTGCCATTACCTGGAGGGAGGCACTGTGGTGGCTCGAAGCACTGAACTGGAAGTCTTTGTGGAAGGTGAGGGCTGTGCTGTTTCCCCTCTTGTGAGGTCACATGCCCCAGGGAACACCAGGATGCCTGTGGCCACTCCCATGATGGACAAGGTTTTTTTCTTTTTCCCTGGCTTGGAGAGCTGGGGACCATTTTCACCTCTGCCTGAGCCAGTTGGTGGCTTCAGAGAGATCCTGGTGCTTCTGGCACACCAAAGCTCTCTGCACCTTCTCATTCCCTCTCCTGTCCCCACAGAGCTCCGTCTGCCCAGACCCAGCCTCTCAGTCCTGCCTGGGCACAAGGTGGCTCCGGGAGCTGACGTGATGTTCCGCTGCACCACCACGTACCCCAGCACCGGCTGTTACCTGTACCTGGAGGGCCAGATCCGAGCCCAGCTACTCCCCAGGGAACAAGAGGACTACAACCTCTCCCTCGTGCAGGAAGGTGACAGCGGCCACTACAGCTGCCAGTGCTACACCTTCAATGCTTCGAGAGAATGGTCTGCTGCCAGCAACACCCTGCACTTGGTGGTGAGAGGTGAGACATCCGCCCAGCCACATCCTGCTCCGCTCTTCCTCCCTGCAATCTGTACATCCTGGGGGCACTAGAAAAGAGGATTTAGGGCAGGAAAGCAGCTGTATGAGGGGACCAAGGAGAGGGTTCCAGCTTCCTTCACCTGTGTTTGAGCCTGGCCAGCTCCTCAGGGACCCTATAGATGACCTAGAGACCAGGGTTGCTGGGCTGCCAGGTGGGGATAAGAGTCAGAGGACACCTATCCCTGCACCTCCCAGCCCCAGGGACAGTCATATGTTTTGTCATGGCTTAGTGTCATTATCTTGCTGGCAGTGGCATCTGAGGACCAGGTCCGTGTTTTTTCCCTCCTTCCCATCTTTGGCCCCACTTGGTGGGGTCACAGGTGAGAGGCTGTGAGTAGGGGGTGTCCCAGAGGACAGGGATGTGGGAGCTGCAGCTGGGGGTCCCCTCGGCGCTCCCTTTGCTCCCTATGAACTTCCGCTTGTGTCTCTTTAGCCGAGGACATCCCTGGGGTCTCCCCTAGCCCTTTGGATCCTTTATGTGTCCCTTTGGATCCTCTGCTGCCCCCGTGGGAGGACTAGGATCTCCCAGTGGGTTCCTCCCCGGTGACGGTCCCTTCCGTCCCCGCAGATTACACGCTGTGCAACACCGTGCGCCTGACGCTGGCGGCCGGGCTGCTGCTGCTGCTGGGGCTGATGGCGGCGGAGGCGGCGCGGAGCCGCTGCCGCGGGGGCTGGGGCAGCCGCGCCGGCCCGCGGGGCACCGCCGCGGGCACTCCCCGGCAGCGGCCCGCGCTGGCCTGAATAAACCGACCCTGTCGCCATCCCTGCCCCGGCTCCTGTGCCCGTCCTGGTCCCGATCCCGGCTGCCTTGGGAGATCCCGCGGGGCGGGCGGGCGGTGGAACACCCAGGAACACGCAGAGGGGTGCGGTTTTCGCCCCTGGGCAGCGCGGTGACCGCTGCACTGACCGCTGCACTGACCGCTGCACTGACCGCTGCACTGACCGCTGCCCTGACCGCTCCTGCTGTGCCCTGACCGCTCCTGCTGCGCACTGACCGCTGCACTGACCGCTCCTGCTGTGCACTGACCGCTCCTGCTGTGCACTGACCACTCCTGCTGTGCACTGACCACTGCATTGACCGCTCCTGCTGTGCACTGACCACTGCATTGACCGCTCCTGCTGCGCACTGACCACTGCACTGACCGCTCCTGCTGCGCACTGACCACTGCACTGACCGCTCCTGCTGTGCACTGACCACTGCACTGACCGCTCCTGCTGTGCCCTGACCGCTCCTGCTGCGCACTGACCACTGCACTGACCGCTCCTGCTGTGCACTGACCGCTGCACTGACCGCTCCTGCTGCGCACTGACCGCTCCTGCTGCGCACTGACCGCTCCTGCTGTGCACTGACCGCTCCTGCTGTGCACTGACCACTGCACTGACCGCTCCTGCTGTGCCCTGACCGCTCCTGCTGCGCACTGACCGCTGCACTGACCGCTCCTGCTGTGCCCTGACCGCTCCTGCTGTGCCCTGACCGCTCCTGCTGTGCCCTGACCGCTCCTGCTGTGCACTGACCACTGCCCTGACCGCTCCTGCTGTGCACTGACCACTGCAGTGACCGCTCCTGCTGTGCACTGACCACTCCTGCTGTGCACTGACCACTGCATTGACCACTCCTGCTGTGCACTGACTGCTGCACTGACCACTGCACTGACCACTCCTGCTGCACAGTGACCACACTGGCCATGCAGCGACTGGTCCCAAACCATGAGCAGTGCACTGAGCTCTCCCACCACGCAGTGAGTGCTCCTGCTGCCCCACTGCACAGTGATTGCTCCCACTGCCCTGCAGCACAGTGACTGCTCCAGCCCTGCAGCGACTGCTGACACAGCACAGTGACCACTCCTGCTTCACAGGCCTCTGTTGCTCACATTTGTTTATTATTTTAAAACACTGACAAAACACATCACACCATAATCTATATATATAAATTTACCTTTGTACCACTATAAGTTTATATATATAGAGCCTTTAAATTACTGTACATTCAGGACACACAGTTCCAGAATAGCTGCACTGGCTACAACAGGATTTTCATTATGAAAACACAGGGAGGAGGCGCTGATATCAAAAACACAGAAAAAAAGAAATTAAGAAAGAGTGCAAAATGAATGAAAGTGCAAAAAAGCTTTTGTTATCATAATCACACTCCCTCCACAATATGGTTCCCATTCCCCCCTCCAAGTACAAGCAAGCCTCAGGCCCAGAAGGAAGGGCTAGGCTGGAAGAAGGGAGCCAAGCTGTAGCCCTCCTGTCCTTCCCTCTCTGCATCAAGGAGCTCTCCTGGAGAATGAGGAGTGAGGAACCCAAGTGGCAAAGTCACACCCCTCTCCTGGCTCCCTCTTCCAACAACCTCATCGTGCCCACAGGCCCAGATGTGCCCCTGTGGCAGCGGGTGCCCTAAGCCCCCAGCCCTCCTAAACAATTGGAGGGTGCATTTCTCTTCTGAAAGTGCTTGTGATTGCCATGGAGAGCAGCGGAGGAAGGCGAGGGCATGTGGCTGTGCTCTGCTGGGGCAGGCACGGCCACCCTTCCTGCTGAGCTCCAGGCTGGCTGCTCTTGTGGAAATGGAGACCTTGGCTCACACTGTCCCAGTGCTGCCCATTTCCACAAGGAGGAGAAAACAGTTTCCCAAGAGGTTCCAACTGCTCCCACACACCCAGAGTCAGCCACAGACCAGCCCCCACAGGAGACACCCCAAAACTAAGGCTGGAGCACATAGTGGGACTTCTCCCATGGCTCCAGCTAAGCCCTGCCTACACCAGCTGCAGGGGCAGAAATGGCAGAAACAGAGACTTGGGGGCCTTCACTCAGAAAAACATTCGACTTGTAGAATTCTTCATTGACTTAGAAATGCTGGCTGCAGTCACAACTCCCAGAAAGGCCCCAGAGAAGAACGTGTAGGCCAGACCCAGCCCACTGTCCTCTCTGGCTTGTTAGTGACACAGCAGTAAACGTCTCTGTGAGGAATCTGGTCAGGCAACAGGGGAAGGACAGAAAACTTTGGTGCTTCTGCCTTGGTCACAACTGTCCTTAACAGTCCCTGAGGGGGAATTCCCACTCAATGCTTTGTGGGGATGGAGGACCTACCAAGGCCAGGGGTGCAGCAAACCTTCCTTCTTGCTGGGACCAGGGCCTCCCTGCTGGGACCAGGATCAACTGCTCACAGAGGACACATCACATGAGACTGTGGGATGGGCATCTGCTGCCTCCACAGCCCTAGAGACCCCCACCCTAAAACAGCAACACACCAACAGCAGGGGAATGGCGTCATGGTACCCCCACAATCACCCATCCACGTGTACACGATGCTTTGGGTTTGGTTTTAAAGGACACAGAAGGTTATAAGTTTTAACAGTAAATAGCCCTTGACCACCTACAAACCCTGTAACTCCCTCACCCAGACAAATCCAGCAGCTTTGTACCCCATCAGGTACATCAGCCTGAGAGGCTGAGGAAGTGATGCTCAATCCAGCAGGTGTGTGACACAGCCTCCCACCTCCCACCACCCTTCCAAAGGGACTGGTGCTCCTGACAGCTGCTCCCAGCACAGAGCTCAGACCTGGTGGGGACCTGGGCTCCAGCTCTACTGCCAGACCCCCCCAGACAAGGGGCAGCACCCTGGCAGTCCAGTCCAGGTCATGTCTGTTTTTAAGAGGAAGGTGAGGACAGCCCAGGGCAGGTGGTGCCGTGGCTGGCACAGTGGGGGGATTCACCTCTGCCTGTGTGGCTGGTGCCCAGGCAGAGCACAGCTTGGCTGCACCCAGGAGCAGAGCAAGAGCCAGTGGTGCTGGTTGTACCCAGCCCTGGAGGGCAGCCAGGGCTTGGCTCATGGCTCCTCTTCAGCAGGATCTTCTGAGCTCCTCACCACCTCTGCTCCCTCAGGCAGCCCTGTGAGACACAAGGCTCTCCCTCCTTCACAGTAGTTTCAGATGTGATGCCTGGGTAGCAGCTCCTCTCCCAGCACCCTGGGATGGTGCTCAGTCTCTTCCCCAGCAGGAGGAACAACTTCACATGTGGGAATACAGCAGATGAGAACAGGATGCTTTCCTAGAATAGGTCCTTGCACACTCAAGGTCTATGTCCAGTGTGAGGGAGCCTCTTCATTCCAGATCAAACACGGAAAAGTCTCAGCACCATTCACAGCCTGGGCTGAAGGTCCCAGGCCTCCTCCTCTTTTCCCCTAGCACACAGTTGCCTAGAAAGAGACTCTCCATCAGCTGAAGAGACCAACTTCCACACCACTTCCTACAGATGAAGGGTGGCTCAGGGAGTGACTCTGTGACTCGGGGACACAGCTGTTTCTTCCCACTCGCCCTCTCCACAGCTGGCCACACTGCAGTGCTTGAAAAGATGCAAGGACATAAAAAAGGCAAGGAGAAGGAAAGCTGCCTAAATCAAACCCAAGCAATGACAAAACAAAGGCATGGACAAGTTGCAAGTCCTGTGGGAAGAGCAAGCAGCAGACGTTTCAAGAACAGGTCAAACATGACCCCAGATATTCAGTAACAGAGTCAAAATGCTACATTTCCATGGGAAGCCTCAAACAGGTTGACCCAGATGTGACAGTGTCTCCCCAGGGCAGTGCAGCTCCAGGAGACATTGCTGGTGCACTTGCTCACACCTCTGCATCCCTGTCTTTGGGCACTGGAAAAGGGAGGAAGCTGTTTTATTACTAGAATGTCATTGTTGGGAATGGGAAAGGAAGTGGACCTGGGACTGGATGCCTGGGCAGGTGGCCATCCTGCAGCACTGCATGGCCAACCCCTGCTCCAACAGCTCCCACAGCAGCTGTGCCAGGGTGATGGACCATGGAGACCAGTGTGGGGACTGCCAGGAGGCACAGGAGCCTATCAGAAGCTGCTGGAACTATGCCAGGACCCCCAGGAATGTTGGCTTTTCTGGCTCTGCAGCCCTTTGTTCCCTCCTCCATCACAAGGGACAGTGTTACAAGAACATTCCCAAACTGCCTGCGGCCCTGTTGGAAAGGTGCTATGTTCTGAAAAGGACAGAAACAAACCAGTTCTGTGCTGGATTTCTTTTAGCTCTGCAGGTAAGGGATCTAGGGACACCAAAAGATCTTGCTCTTCAGACAGCAAAACCTGGGTGCCTTGTGAGGACAAAGAGTGGGGAGAAGGCAGCTTGGCAGAACTGACTCAGCCAACTCAGGAACACCTCCAGAAGTGACTGTGGATCTGCCTGTTGGAGCAATGGATGCTTCTTGTCCTTGGCAGCTGTCTCCATCCTAGAGAGGGCCTTGCTTCTAAGACAAGGACCAAAGTGGGCCCAACTTCCTTTGTAAAGGACTCTTTAATAGTACAGGGGGAACAAGCTATCCAAGCATCCTTTCTCCCAGAGAAGTGCTGGACAAAACAGTCTGAAGCACAAGAAGAAATGGAGCCTTTTCTGCACCCAGCCAGCCCTGGCCTGGCAGGGCCCTGGGGCTGCTGAATTTCAGGAAAGAGGAAGAAAGCACAGGTGATGGTCATGAGCAGAGCAGCTGCCAGGACAGCTGCTACCTGAAGGGGCAAGAGGTGGCCACTGGTTTGCAGTGCAGTGCAGGGGCAAAGCAGTCATCAACTGGCCTTAAAAAGGGAAAGTCAAAAGAATTCAGAGAAAAAGGCAAAATGAGCAGAAGCTCCTAAAGAATGTTCCTTGGAAATTATGTTAGTACAAGTACCCCCAGAGGATCATACAGAGGGAAAAATCCCAAATCTCTCTCAGCTGCTGAGCAAAGGCAAGAGCAGCCTTTAAGTGGGTGTGAGCATGGGTGCAGGCAGTCAGTCCCTTGCCCTGCCTGGGTGACTCGAGTAGGTGTCAGCCCGCTGCTGTGACACCCTCCACAGTGCTCCCCTGGCCCTCAGCACCTCCGACCCGGTGCAGGCACAGCAGGACACAGTGGGGACAGCTGTGGCACCAAGACAGGCCAGTGCCACATCTGCCCTCCTTCCTGCCACCGCCCCCGAGGCCTGCAGCCAGCCTGGGCCCAGCGCTGCAGAAGGGCAGCGTGCAAGGAACACGGTGGGAGATGGACTGGTGGGAGAGGCAAGGTGTGGCATCCGGGAGGACACGAGCAGGACGTGACAAGCTGCAGTCGGCTGGGGGAATCTCTGTCCTGACTGGACAGTTTGGCAGCACCAGTGATGAGGGAGGCTCCCGGCTGGGCCAAGAGAAGTCACTTTAAGGTGTCATCAGCGTTCTTGAACATGAGGATGGCATTGTAGATCTTGAGTGCCGGACCCAGCTTGACATTCATGATCTTGACGATGTCAGCCTGCGTCAGCAAGAGGAACGCCTCGCCATCGATCATCTGGGAAGGAGAGCAGGGACACAGGTACTACTGCAAACCTGGGCTGGCACTCCTGGGGACAGCCAGCACCAGCATGACCTGGGCAGAAACCACAGGTGACTCCAGAGACCAGGGCAGGGCCCACCCACAGCACTCCCCAGGGGAAGCCCAGCTGGCAGCTCATGTGCCCAGGAACAGGGCAGAGGGGGAGAAGCCCTTCCAAGGCCATCCCAGGAGCCCACACTACAGCCAGGTTGGGATTCTGTGCTGGAGCCCCACGGGCACAGCACAGAGCCACCACAACCTGCTCTGGGCAAGCAGCTGTCCATTCCCTACTCCAGGGACCAGCACTCGTGGACGCTGCCCCAGTTCAGCTTTGCCTGCCTGAGCACCCTTAAAGCACAGGGGCTATTCCCAGACAGGTTGTGACAGTGGCTGTAGCCAGGGTGCTGCAGAGGGTGCCGGGTGCCAGAGCCACCCCCACCACATCTGCCCACAGAGGGTCCAAAAACACCGACCCTGACAGGCAGCAGTGCCACCCAGCTGCTGTGCTGGTGAGAGGGACAGAGGGGGAAGGATGAAAGGGTGAGGAGGAGCAGCTCCCCACTGGAGGTGATGGTGCTCTTCAGGCTGCAGCACCATCTTACTCCTGCCCCCCATCTGCATCCCCTCAGAGAGGCCCTCCCATGAGTTCCTCATGCGGGGAGAACAGGGCAGCACAGGCTCAGCAGTTTCCCTCCTGCCCTGCATGGACACAGCCAGATGGCTGCACACTCCCATGCAGTGGAGCTGCAGGGCAGGACCACTGCCAGGTGCTGGATGTGCCCTTAGCATCCAGCAGCAAGCCACTGCAGGGAGGCCACTGGCCAATTCCTCCCAGCCCTAGTGGCACACAGCGGTCCTTGACCCCCTGCTCTCAGCCACCAACCCTTCTCACCTCATCCTTGAAGAGCTTGGCTTGGTCCTCACAGCCCGTCAGAGTCTGCACAAAGCTAAAAACCTTGGAATAAATGAGAGAAATGTCAAGACAGAGCAATGTTTCTGGCTGGAGACCCCCCCCCAATCCCACATCCTCATATTTTGAGCTCTGCAAGGTGCCACGGGGCTCTTGGGGCAGAGGATGCAGTTGCTTTGCCCTCCCATGCCAGAGCCTACCCCTGGCCCCAGGCACAGGCACTGGCCTGAGAGGAGCACCATGGGGGGTCACAAGGACATCAGAGGATTTTTAAGATTGTCAGAGCCCTCTGTAATCATCGAGGCCAACCACTGACCAGCACTGCCAAGGCCACCACTAAGCCATGTCCCCAGGTGCCACATCCACACAGCTTTTGAACTCTTCCAGGGATGGTGATTCCACCACTGCCCTGGGCAGCCTGTGCCAGTGCTTAAGAGCAGGCAGAGGCTGCTGGAGCTGATGCCAGAGCTCCTCCACCTACTCAGGCCTTAACAGGGGTCACCATAGCTACCCAAGAAAGTGAACAAAGGTGACAACGTGTCCAGTAGACCCCACCTTGCTAGCCCAGAGACGCGGCCACTGAAGTGCCTGGTGCGTGTGCCACAGTACTGCACAGCCAGGCAGGGTGCTCCCAGCCATGCCAGCACATCAGGGGCCAGCATGGAGCTGTCCAAAGCACCTCACCTCATCAATGGTCCACTTGGCCACCGTGGCTGCTGTGATGCCAGCCACCCCTGGCAGCAGCTTGCAGTGCTGCTCCCAGCACAGGGACAGGGAGCGGTCGGGGTGGGCGGACAGGGCAGACATGAAGAGCGACTGGTGCACATTGTCTGAAGAAACAGCTGGGGATAAAGCACAACGTGTGATATGAGGTAAAAGACAGGAACATCCCAATGCAGGTATCAAGAGCTAGTAGCTGTCCCTTGAGTCAACAGGGTTTCAGTGTATCCAAGTGTTCACTTAGATGGGAATAGGGATCCTAGGAAAAGAAGTTCAGACAAGCTTGGCTTTGCCTTGTTCTCATGACCTTTAATCATTCATTTTCCACTCACTCCCAGCAGTGGGGTAGGTGGCAAGACAGCCCACGGTGAAAGGGATGCTGGATTGAATATACATCAGGCATCTGCTTCTGTCAGGCATCAGAACTAAATGCCAAGCCAACTGTCGTCCAGCATTAGTTTCTGTGTGGCAGTAATAATTTAGCACTTCACAACCACACTGAAATTTTGGGGCACAACTCCCCACTATCCCTGCCTGAAGAGGACAAAGCAGCACAGAAAATACAGTGTCATAGAGAGGATCCTAATTCAATGCTCTAAAGCACTCAAAGACTCCCAGGCATAACCCCAGAGCCAAACCGAGGGAGCTTTGTGAGCCCTGGCACAAGGCAGGAACATCTCTTACCCATGGTCACCTCTGGCAGCTGACCACAGCCCCTCCCTGGGGTGGACCTGTGTGAGCCAAGACCCCTCCCCAGCACCCCCACCCACCCCAGCTGCTCCAGCCTTGCCCTGCAATGACACCATGGCAGAGGATGGCACTTACTCTGGAAGTCTTCCTGCTGGATCTTCCGGTACTTTGGAGGTCTCCCTCTAAAGAGACAGGAAGACTGATGTCCAGCTGGGCTGGGACCAGCCCCAGGGCCCTCCTCCCCAGCGCCCAGAGCAACACCTCAGCAGAGGGAGCAGGGACCCCTTGGGCCCTGACCCAAAGGGTTGACAGCCAAACCAGAAACCGTGGGAAGAAAAAGTGAGAGAGGTGCCTGGCAGAGCTGGCAGGACCGAGGCCAAGGAGCCTCTGCGGCCTGGTGAGCCCTGCCAGGGCGGGCAGTGGTGGCACAGGGGCCCTCCCCGCACGGGGCTCACTGCCCGTGCCCCTACCTTACCTCCCGTGGTGCCGAGATTTCTTTCGCTGAGGGAAACCCATTGGGCTCCTCTTGCGTGTCGAGGCCTCGGTGTCAGACAAGTCAGCCTTCAGCCTGCCCTGGTTCTTCTCTGCCAGCGGGCACCCTGAGAGGCAGTAATGGGCTGTGAACCTCCCCGTGACATGGCCTGAGCCATCGCAGCCCGGTGTGGGGCACTTCCTAGAGAACAGAGGGGACACAAGCGTTGGGCGCAGCTTGGAGCAGCATCGGGGGACGAGCCAGCAGGGCCATGCTTCTGCCCCCCAGCATGGGCAGCCATTGCCCTGGCCATGGAAGGCAAAGGAAAAATGTGCTGAGCAAATTCCCACAGCCAGGCTGCTGGGGCCAGGAGTAGGGCACAGCCAGTCCCTCCAGATGCAAACCTGCAAGCCTGGGCAAGGCACCCATGTGCTGATTGAGCAGCTCATCGGAGCTCCCAGAGTCTCCATCTTCCCTTGCCCCCACAGGCATCCAGACCAGCCTCAGAGTGAGCAGTAAGCATGTGCCAGGAGTGTGGCCAGCAGAGAAACCCCCAGGAGGCACACCTGCCCTCCCCATCCTCACAGATACTCCACCATACTGGCTCTTCCTGACACCAGCCTAGTGCTGGGCTTGGCACTAGACTGGCTTCCCTTGGAAAAGGCCCCTCAAGTGAGGGAGCTGGAACCATACACTGCTCCTTCTTGGGACTTCCCAGCTCAAAGCCTGACAGGGAAAGGCATCCAGGAGGGGTGGGGGGACAGCATTCTCACAGCTGGTGTCAGCGAACAGCATCCGCACTATCCTCTCCATAGCCCACAGGTGCCCGTGGTAGGTGGGCACACAGGACACCTTCAGGGGTTCTGGGGACACAGGACAGGCCCAGGAGGGGCTCACAGGGGTTACTGCAACTGGGGTTCTGCTTCTGCCCCGGGGCCTTGCCCAGGGGAGCAGGGGGCAGAGCCAGGTGTGGGGTGAGTGCAGGGAAAGGCTGGATGCTGGTGGGGGTGGCAGGTGAGGAAGAGCAGAGGAAGAGCTGGCCCAGCCTGGCAGGGAAGAAGCTGTGCCCCTCCAGGCTGTGCCAGAGAGCTCACCTGTGGTGAAAGCTGTACTTGGAGCTCTTGGAGTGAGGGATGCTCTTGCAGCCAAGGCTTGGGCAGCCCCCATGGGCAGAGGAGGCTGGTTCCTTTGGCCCTGCAGCCAGAGGAGAGGAACAGGAGAAAGGCTGTCACAGCTGCAAGCCCAGGCAGAGCCAGGGCTCTGGGCTCCCTGCCTGCACCAAACAGGGAGGGCTTTTCCAATTGACAAATCCATGGAGTGGCCTCTCCTCCCTGCCCATTCTCAGCCAGAACCTGCCCTCCTGTTTCAGTGCACGGGCAGGTGGCAGTGACAGAGGTATCTGGCGTGCTTGTGCCCTGTAGAGAGGAGCTGACACAGGTGCAGCACTTACTGAGAGGAGGCTGCAATGGGTGTCCTGTTTTTGAGCACCAGCCCATGGGATGGATGTCCGGATGATCCGCATCAATCCAGAAATCGTACACATGGCTCCAGCCATCAAAATGGACCTGGGGAAGCAAGTAGAGGGGTCACCCTTCAAATGCCAAGACACCTCTCTCCAGAGGAGCTCTGGAGCCTTCCTAGTTGAGAGCAAGCAGCAGGGTAGAGCTGAAGTGCAGCACAAGGCTCTCCACTCTTGGAGCCAGGCACTGGGACCTGCCCACATTTGCACAGTCCCAGAGAGCAGAAGGGCAGAAGTGAGCCAGCCCAGAGCCTGGACACAGGCTCAGTACCGATGCTCCAGCACCCACCTTTATCCTGTGATCTTCCACATCCTCCACACTGGCCACTCGGATGAAGGAAGGAGTCCTCCTGTCCACTGCTTCCAGCTTCATGTTGACCAGGAAGCCGTGGGGCGGGCGCTGGAAGAGCCCAGTCAGGGGGAGCAGGGAGCTTCAGGCTCCTGCCCCCTCAGCAGCTTTCCCAGCACTGTGTCCCACTCGACCCCAGCTCCCAGCCCTGGCCTGCCCAGGAAGAGCCATCCCAGCTTACAGTGCCAACAGGAGAAAGCAGAAACATTTGAGCTGTCTTTAACAAGATGTGCTCCAGGGAAGAAGGTCTCTAAGAGACACATTTTGGGGATTTATACTGTAACCACGTTTGGCTGGACATGGCTGCTGGTGGTGTAGTTTGACACAAAAACTAATCAAGCAAACCTAAAATTCTTCCCATCACTCAGTCCCTGTTTAGCTGAGGGCACACTCATACTCCTCATTTTTCCCAAATTTGAACTATTTGCCCAGGATACCCCTGATTTCTGTGAGTGTAGATCCAAAGCCTAGGCCTCTGGCAGAAGAATACAGAACATCACTAGAAGTTGTCACAAAAGCAAAGGCCTGACAATGAAGAAAATGCAAACTCCTGCCCAGGTGGGGTGGAGCAGATGATGTGACACTCACCACTTTAAAGGCCCAAGCTGGGACAGCAGATGCTCCAGTTTCTTTCAAGTACTTTTCCCAGGTGAAGTTGTCAGGATCAGGATAATCTGGAAGGGGGAAGATGCAGAAGGTGAGACACGCCTGCAGGAACTCAGAAAGTACCACAGAATGCCCCACTGCCTTCGAGGGCCAACCACATCTGCTGGGCACACGGGAACCTGAGAGACACCAAGAAGTGTTGCTATTTTCTCATGGACCATGCAACCCACAGTACAAGGAACAGAAACAGCTGAGGTCCTCCTTATATCTGAATGGAGACTTGGCCTAACACAAGCACCATGCTGCACCTGAACATGTGTAAAGGAGCCTTGGCAGGAGGTCTGTGCACTGGGACCCCCATGCCACCCTGAAAAGCCTGTCCCCAAGGGGATGCACTCCCAGGCTGCACCTGACTGATCACTGACTCACCTTGAGGAGGTGTGAGGGGTTTGCCGTGCTCATGACACCATCCAACTGGGTGGATGTATGGACTGCTGGGATCACACCTAGAAAATATACCCAAGCTCTTACACAGGGCTCCCTGTGGAAGTCTCCCCACCACTGGCTCCCAAGAGCCTCAGTGCACTTACCAGTAGTCATAAGTATCATCCCAGTTGTCAAAGTGCACCAGGAAGCGATTGTCCACCACGTCAGTCACTGTGGCAACACAGATCAGGGAGGGGTTCATGCGGTCCACGGCTTCCAGCTTCATGCCCACCTTGAAGCCTGGAGAAACCTCGTGCTGGCAGGAGAGAGGGGCAGGGCTTTTTCAGAGCTGCAGCCCCAGCTCCTTCCTCACCATTGCCTATGCCTGTTGCAAGGAGGCACCTGCCCAAACCCTCCCAAAGCCATACCCCATCTGACCTCCAGACAGGCCTGGGACCACTGAGGCTCCCAGATGGGCAGCGTGCTGCAGTGCAAGGAAAGAGGAAGTGGGTAAATAACTCAGCTGGGCCACACAAACAAAGAGAAAAAATAATCTTCAGACCCTCAGGATCTTCTATAACTAGTAAATTCCAAGAAAAAAAAAAACCTCCAACTGACACTAGTTCTGCTTTGTCTCAAACCACTTGTTTGTGGTCAGTCAGCAGCAACCAATGACTCAGGCATGGCAGGAAGAGCTGGGATGGGGCCCTTCTCCCTTCCTTGCCTTTATTTCTTGGATCCAGATTCTGTGCAAAACACTGCATCACACACACTGCTACAGATCCTGAGCAATGGTGTGACACATGCTCCTGGCTCTTGAGCACTGTGGGCTTGAGGGGTGTGGGATGGACAAAGCAAAGCCCAGTGCTGGTGGAAGCATTTTGCTCAGCTGGAGGGGAAGAATCCCACCTGAACCTGTAGGCTCTGGCAGGAAGGCGATGCTGCTACTCACAGTGTTTCGGACCATGAAGAGGTGCTTAGGAGCTGCCTGAGCCTTTGTTAACTTCAGGTAGTTTGTCCAGCTGAATTCTTCTTCTTTATAACCTACAACCCCTCAGGAAGAGAAATGAGAGCAGTGAGTTCACAGCCAGGAGGATGTGAGGGCAAGCCTGGCCATCCCTGAACAATTGTCACCCTGCCAGCATATCCTGCTGCAGCAGGATCTGCAGCAGCCCTGGGATGCCCAAAGCCCATGGCTGAGGGCTGATGGGTGGTTTTGGAGGGGTGTTAGGAAACATGAGCAGTGGGGTAGAAGGACACAGCTCCTCTTCCGGTCCAGCCTGACCTGGGGCACAGCTGGTGGCAGTGGGAGGTCCAGAGCATCAGGGATTTGCTGCAGAATGTGAGCAAACAGAGATGGGTGCCTGAAATGTTGTCCTGTGGAACTCCACCAGTACAGCAACGTGGAACCAGCCCCATGGACCCAGCCTGTCCCCACCTCAAGCTCTACATTTGGCCCAGTCTTCATCCCCCTCCTTCAGCAGGACCCAACACCGGGGCTGAATTATCTCCTTACCTTTGGGGGGCTGGAGCTTGTGCCCCGTCTCCTCAAACCAGCCAGCAGGGTGGATGTCAGGGGAGTCAGCATTCAGCCAGAAGTCATGGCACTCCGAGTAGCCATCGAAGTGGAGACGCATCCGGTAGCCACACACCTGCCAGCAGGGAGGGAGGAGGGGGAAAGAGCCATGGAGACCTGCTGCTGTCCCTGGCTGAGCATCACACCCCCTCCCACACATCCGCTCAGCATGGGTCACTTTGGGAAGCCAAAAGTCAGTCACAGGCCAGTGCCCAAACTGGGAGGCACAAACCAGTCCCAAACGGTGTCCAGCATGGAACAAGGTCAGTGCAAAGCCACCACAAGCCAGCCCGTAGAAGGGATATTCAGGGTGCATTAAATGCCATGGTGGAGCACCTTGCTGGATCCAGCAAGTGCACAGACTCCTTTTTCTGCAGCCTAGGAAGCTGCTGATGCAAAGATTTTGGCTAAATGCCACATTGGCTGCCTGGGGAGCTCTGCAAGGCAAAGCTGGTCCAGCTGCCACGTGGCTGAGTGGAAAGTGGATCTACAGGGACACAAAGAAGAGCAGCGGGATGCCTCCACATCCTCCACCTCAAGGGCTCAGACCTGTCTTAGGGACATATGCTGTTGCCATCACCACAATCCTTCTCCCTGTCCTGTGTCAGGGTGACAGAGACCATCACAGGCCCACAGTGCTGTGTCCTGTTCCTCCAAGCTGGCAGGGAACTCCCAGCTTGTTTGCCTGAGGTGCTGGAGCAGCAGCTCATCTCCTGCAGTGTCAGGCCCTGTCTCCTCCAGGGGCCATCTGGCAGCAGCTCCCCTGCCCCAGAGCCTCTGGCTGAGTGGGAGCCAGGAGGAACCAAGGAACACAGGCACTGGAGGCTCCTCACCTCAGCCACTGTCAGGATGAAGTACATAGATGGGTGCTGCGGGTCGATCCCCTCCAGCTTCATCCCCACTTTAAAGCCATTCTTGTGCTGGGAAGCTACTTGGTACTGGAAATAAAAATTAAACTACAATGTAAAACCAACACAGGGAGTTGGGTCTAGAACCCACCAGGGGAGCAACCACCAAGCAATGGGAGCTGCTGGGACCAAGAGACTCTGGGCCACAGGTTAGGTTTCATACAAATTTTAATTTTTTCCCATAGGAAAAAAAACAGTGTTACACCTCCTTACGGATTTACATCTCTTGCTATTGGCAGGACAAGGTGTCCCTGGGGTAAAAGCTGCAGCTGGGGGAGCAGGACACAGGCCTGACTTGTTTGCAGCACAGCCTCAGGGGAGCCCACCTGGCTTCCAGGAAGGGCTGGAAAGGCTCCACCACCCTGCCAGAGTCACAGCAGTGTCCTAGACAAAGGTGGGGTGTTTGGGATGGGGCCAGCACCTGCTGGGGAGTGGGACTCTGGGCAAATCAGAACTGGAGGTGGCCCAGGCACTTCCAGGTGACAATGGGAACTTGGCTATTGCTCAGAGTCCCACAAAACAGGGAAGCAAGGAAGAGAGGAGAAGGAGGAGGGGTGGGAAAAAAAAAGGGAAAGAAAAGAGAAGATGAAAGAGGGAAAAAGACAGGAAAATCCCAACTCACATCCTGGAAGAGATCTAAAGGGGCAGCGACAGCTTTCTGCTCCTCCAAGTAGGACGCCCAAGACCAGCCTTCTTTCTTCTCCTCACTGGCACCTGAGCGCAGCACAAACGCACACAAACGCTGCTGAGGGGCCGCTCCAGCCCTGTCCCACTCTCACACAGGGTCCTGCATCCCTGCAAAGCTCAGCACCATCCTGCCAGAGCCCTTTCTCCAGCAAACCTGGCCAGCTGCATGACGAGGGGCAGAGCCAGGAGCCCCCATGACCCGAATATCCTGAACCATGTCCTAGTAAGGCACCTGGGCTAGTGGAAAATGTCCCTGCCCATGACAGGGGGTAGAACCAAGGTGGGCTTTAAGGTCCTTTCCAACAAGTCTGGGATTACAGGGAGTGTGAGGGATGAGCCATCAGGACACCAGACCTGACCAGACCCTCTTCCAGCCAGAACACATGCTGTGTCCACAGAGGATGGATCTGTGGAAGCCAGGATCCATGCACAGGTCTGGGAATCATTCCCAGCTCCAATGGCCTCCTAGACAGTCAAACCAACAGCAGGTTCCCATACCAGCTCTGCCATCCTCTGCTCTGAGACAGACATCTGAGTCCCCGTGGCACAGCAAGGCCACTCTGATGCCCTAGAGATGTGTTTGCCCATGACAAAGAAGACAGCACTGTCTCTTCATAGGCAGGGAGGTGAGCCTTCATGCCTTTGAGAAGGCCACAAAGGCCTTGCCCAAGACCTAAGAGACACAACCCAAGTCTCTTGCTCTCCAGCCTCTTTGTCTCCCTAATTTGCAGGAGCTGAAGGACTCCAGGGGTGCTGTGCCTATTCCAGAGCTGAGGAATTTCCAGCTGCAGATCAGCTATGGCAGACAGCCTCAGGAAGGGCAGGCTAGAAATGCAGGGGAAAAACATATCTACTCCTTCCTCCTTTGGGCTTAGGGGAGGAAGAGATGGAAAAAACCAGAAACTTAGGGAAGAATTTAAAGGTGAACTTCAGTGAACAAGGTAACTAAACTTGCTTTGCTGACATCTTCAGATTGAAAAACACTTTTACTATTCTTTAGGACACAGAAAAAGTGCCAGGCATAGCTGGGCAATCTGTGAGTATAAGCTCTGTACTTCTGGGAAATGGCAAATACACCAAGAGTCAGAGCATACACGGACTGCTGCACTGAGGCAGCCAGGTGTGTATTTTGTTTGCTGAAGTACTTCTAAGAGAAAATAAAACGCTGAAGTAACAAAGACCACCACTGCTTACTTGTATGCAGCAGGGAAGGTTACATGCTCAGGGCTCAGAGTGACAAGCAGGTATGAGATCTGAGATTCCTTTTTAATGATCTCACTCTAACACCAGGTGTTAATGACACCTGGACCCTGCCACTGTCCCTCCACTTGGTTATGCAGAGGAGTATGAAGTTGGAACAGTTTAGTTTTAAAATTATTTTGAGTATGACTTTCAGTACTCAAAGACAAAAGGTTTCCCATAAATGTTTATTTTCAGTGTTTCCCAAAATTTTGCTTGACACTGCAGGGAAAAAGCCAACCAAGAAAGCATTGCATCCCTCAGCTTGTCTCCTTTCCTTCCATGTCGACAGCTCTGCTTTTGAGATCTCTGATACAGTCATGGAATAGATCCCCACAGAATGAGACAACCCCAAATTACAGGGCTTCAGTGGCACTGCACCTACACGAGCAGCTCCCAAACTTGTGAGCTCCTGATGCCACAAGGGAAGTTCCCCATGAGCCCATCCCAAAGAGGGGCAAAGCCACACGTGGTGCAGTCCTGTTTGTGCTCAGGACAGTGTTCTTGGGAGCAAACACAGTGCCCATGAGCCAGTAACAAACTGAGCTCCCAAGGGGAGGGACAGGAAGCTCTGTCCAGCACGGTGCCCCCTTCCCATGGAGAGAGAGAGAGGAAAGGAGAGAAATGGAAAGAGACAGAGAGAGCAGGATCAAGCAAGCAGAGGAGCTCACACGCCTTCAGGACCACATGCCAGCGCATTGCAGTGAGTGTTTGACCCTGCAGGAGCACCAAAACGGTCCAACCCTGCAGGGGGACCCCCCAGCCCCAGCAGCAGTGCTCATCCCACAGCCCACCCTGCCCTCCGTACCGTGCTGGCTCCCGTTCCACGCCTCAGCCTCCAGATTGCTCATGGCAGAGTCTTCCACAGAGCTTTTCTTCTCATCCTGCTTTTCCTCCTAAACATGAGAGCAGACAGAACAGAACCCACAGTTTTTTTGCTATGTGTTGTATCCTCACACTGGTGCCCAGGACCATAGTGCACCCCAACAAGGTCCACAGTGTGACCAATGTGTGGCCCAGAAATGGACTGCCAGAGAATTTGGTGATGGGAGCTTGCAGGGACTGGTAGAAATCACACCTGGACTGGACCTGCTACAGACAGTCAGGGCTGGCAAGCAGAGCTTCCTTACCTTGTCAAAGTCTCTCCCTTCCCCAAGACACCTAGCACACAGACACTCCCCTACTTCAACCCTATCTCTGGTGGCCCAGACACAAGAGAGTAGCTGAGAGTGGTCACTACCTACAGCCCAGCCTGGACAGTCTGGCACTGCCCAGGCCTCAGTGCTCCACATGCCAAACAACCAGCCCGGTGCTAGGAGCCCTCATCTCCACACATTCAAGTCTTCTTGGCATTTTGGCCAACCTGTTTCCCTTTTGACCTGCAGCTGACAGAGCCCTGAGCAGCACGATGAGATCTGTGCACACAGGGCTGGCCTCCAGTCCCCGGGACACTGGCTGCACCCACCCCCTCCCCGTATTTGTCCTACCATTTGCTCAGATTCATATTCATCCTCCGAGGGGCTCTGATAGTCCTTCCTCTTTCGTTTCTTCACAGGCTTGAGGATTTCAGTGACATTGGTGCTGCTGGCAGAGTTTTCCACAATGACAGACCTGCACAGAGAGAGGCAGGGCCAAGCACTGCAGCCAGTGCAGCACAGTGACACTGCCTGGGGTCTCATTAAGGGAGGGGCTGCTGGACAGTCACTGTCCCCCCATTTCTTACTCACACGTGCCCCCACCCCTCCTGTGGGGGGATGTACACATGTAAGTTGTCAAGAGTTATAGACAGGGACAGGCCAGAGTCACCCTGACACACTTGGGTGTTAGAAACCTGAACCCAGGGATAAATCAAAAGGGATCTAGTTTAGTAGCAGGGCTCTAAACTGCACCGGAGATGCTGGAAAACAAGTCCTGAGAGCCACAGAGTGGTCAGGAATAGGACTGGAAATGTCCCCGTGACCTGTGGCCTTCCACTGCTGCTCAGCCTGGAAGCCCCCACTGCAGCAACTTCCTGCTCCAGCAGATATGTGTTTACGAGGCCACAAATTGGGCAGGAGAAAATCTAGCTCCCATGCTTCGCGCTGACCCCTTGGGAAGCTTTCCCTCCCCAACCTGCCTCCAGGAACAAGTGGAACACGCAGGATGCCCAGCACCTGCCGGAGGCAGAGGCGTTCCCAACCCTCGCTGAAGCATATGGAGCAGGGCAGGGAGGGAGGGCAGAGGGATGGATGTGGCTCTGCAGGGCACAGACCCCCCTTTCCTTTACCTTTCTTTGAACTGCTGGTGGCAGTGCTCGCTGCAGAAGCCCCTGCCCTCCCAGGCCCCGTCCCACACGTGTCTGCGGCCGCAGGTATCGCAGTGGCACAGACCTTCTGCCGTGGGCTGCTCCGGCACGTCTGCGACAAGAGGAGCAACAGTGAGGCACACAGAAGGACAGCAGACACAGGAGACATTTGCCTCACCCATGGAGACAGCAGGCAGCATCTGCTGGATGCTGGTACCCACCACACAAGTGCCACCACAGTGCCCTTACCCTGAGCCACAGTAGGATTGTCTCTGCTGGTAGGTGCCACCTCAGAGTCCCCATCTTTCTCTGTGTGACCCTCCTTCACAGCTTCCACAGGAGGCATCTTATCAGCACTCACCACCTTCAGAGTGCCGTACTCATTTATCCGGAACTGCCATTGAACAGAAAGCAAAGAAAAAGTTCAGCAGGACAGACGTGTAACTGGGTGGCTAGTCTGAAAATGAGGGACAGGGATGTTCATCAGTGTGTCTGACATGAGGACAACTCTTCTGAGCCCAGAGGTGAGCACAGCACCCCAGGCCCTGTGAAGGTGCCCTGCCTGCAGCCTGTGCTGGGCACTCAGCTGGAGCTGGCAGGTGGGTGGCTGGAGGATGAGGTGCCCTGAGGCTGAGTAGCAGCTAAGAAATGGGTGCATTTTCTACAAGCTGTCATGCACTGAGGCACCTGCTGCCAGATGAGGACAAGGCTGCTGCTCCCAGGGTGAGGGCAGGAGCTAGGGCAGAGCCAAGTCCACAGCACAGTTTGGAAGGGAAAATGTCCTGCACAGCATGTAGCACCCCTGTGCCTCCTTGTGCAGGGCAGAGCTGCTGCAGCCCCTCAGGCACCTCGGTGAGCTCTGTGCTAAGCTCACAGGATGGCAGGGGCAGAAGAGCTGGCACAGCTGAGGGATCAGCCAGCTGGGGTGCAGGAGGCCCATGGCACATCCTGGTGCTCCTTACCTGGCACAGGCTGAGGGATTTACAAGCACAAGCATCTGTGAGGAGAGGCAAAGGGGTGAAACCCAGTGGCCCAAGGCTACACTTACCCGCAGGTTACTCCCAGGCAAAGTTGCCACCCCATCTTTCCACTCCAGCACACGGACTGTGCTGCAGGTCTGCACCCCACTGATCTGGGGAATGACAGCAGCTGTGATGGGCTCATTCCCTGCTCCCCTGTCTGGCTTCTCAGCCCCTGTGCTTCTCTGCGGCTCCCGGGGGAATCGCTGGATTTCTAAGGTGCTCGTGGGAAGGTTGATGGCAGTGGCATTTGCTTGAGAAGGAAAGAAAGGAGACAAAAAAACAGAGGCATACACAGAACACTTCACTGATGAAAACAAGGCTCAAAGGCAGCCCAGGATCCCAGAGGACATGGTCTCCCAGGTGAGGGCTCTGCTGTGGGCCAAAGCACAAAGGAAGCAGAGTGATGCAAAAAAATCTGCAGCCAGTAATAGCTCATGCTGGAAGGTGGCAACGACACTATCCACATTCAAGGGTTTCTACTTCAGCCTGATCTCAGACTGTTTCTGTGCCTAGAGTGCCCTGATGTGACAGAAGTTTGCTCCTGGGCTGCAATTTCCAGTTAAGTTACGTTTCAAGGGAACACACTGTGCAACCCAGGGCCTCTCTGCAGTGAGAACCAAGGCACCAGGAAAAACTGGGAGATCTGCTTCTATGATGAGAAATATTCTATGATGAGAACACTCCTCATCTCACCTTACACACAACCATGCTTTGCTCAAACACCTCCTAAAAGACACCGGTCAGCTGCACTCAAAATTGTCCCAATTTTCAAGAAGGGTAAGAAGGACAACCCTGATAATTACAGGTCTGTCAGTCTCACTACAGTGCTTGGTAAAATTATGGAGAAAGTTATTCTGGGAGTTACTGAAAAACACTGGAGAGACAACGAAGTCGTTGGTCACAGCCAACATAGGTTCACAAGGAAAAGTCCTGGTTAACCAGCTGAATCTCCCCTTATGGAAAGGTCACCCCACTAAGCTGACCAAACAAAGCAAATAGATGTGAGTATTTGGATTTTAGCAAAGCCTTGATACTGCCTGTCAAAGTACCCTTCTGGACAAAAAGTCCAGTACAGAGCTCATCCAGTCCATTGTCCATCAGGTGAACAAGTGGGTGATTGCTCTCCTACAGTTGTGTTCAAAGCCTTACAGGAACTGGGGGAACATCAGGCTGGTGGCCATCACCAGTGGGGTTCCCCACAGCGCTCCTAATTTTTTTATAAATAATCTGGATGGAGGAATAGAATATCCATTAAGTAAGTTTATCAATTACACTTTATTATGAGGAGCTGTGGACAACCTTTAGGATAAGGAGGCCTTACACAGAGATCTGGACAGACCAGAGAGCTGGGCAATACAATCACCATATGCATGAAACAAGAGTAAGACCTGGATTCTGCACCTAGGATGGGATAATCCTGAAAAGTTGTATGACATGGGGACCAAGGCTGGGGAGCTACTGTGGAGAAGGGACTCAGGGGCTTTGGGCTGAGGGCAAGTGGAACAGGAGCCAGCAGAGCCCTGGCAGCCCCAAGGGCCAGCCCTGCCCTGGGGGACATCA